TGTTTTCACATCTACCTCTTGGTCCATGTACAAGTTCCTCAAGATCACAATGAATTGTTCCAAAATTCTGAGTCTTCCCAAGGTTATTCACGGTATATTATGGTCCACACTGTCCAATGACTTGGCATACTTAATGAAACACAAGTGAGCATTTTTGGGGTGTTCTCTGTTTTGACTCAAGATCCATCTGGCATCAGCAATCATATCTCTTGTTCCATGTCCTCGTCTGAATCTGGCCTGAAATTCTGGAAACTCGATGTCATTGTACTTCTGCCTAAAATTTTTGCCTAAGACCATCAAAGAATGGTACTAGGCAAAAAATGTATTTGCATGAGTGTGATATTAATCAAACCTTCTATTGTTTGAATATTCTGTTGGGTCACTTTTCTTTGGAGTAGGCACAATTTTGGATCCCTTCCATTCAATTAACCAAGTAGCTGACTTCCAAATTTCCATAGACCAGCATGTGCTTCCAGTGCTTCTTCAGCTTCCTGAATCATTTCAATTGGTATTTCATCAATTCCTGTGGCCTTGTTATAGGCTAATGCATTCTTTGCCATTTGGATTTCTTCCTTCAGCACCACTGGTTCTTGCTCATATGCTATCTCCTGAAATGGTTAAATGTCCGTCAATGCTGCTTGGTACAAGGACTCGGTGTATTTTTTCCATCTTCTCTTGATACTTCCTCCATCATTTGATATTTTAGCCACAGAATCTTTCAAGATTATAACCCAAGGCTTGAATTTTTTTCTTGAGGTTTTTCAGTTTAAGATATGCTGAGTATGTTTTTCCATTTTGATTTTCTAATCCTAGATCATCTAACTCTAGCATATTTTATTATAATATTTGGCCTTGTTTTCTCAAAAGACCCTATGAAAATTACTATTCAGCTCTTTGACTTCATCCTTTCTTCCATTTGCTTTAGCTAGTCTACAACTAAGAGCAAGTTGGAGAGTGTCTTCTGACATCCACTTCTATCTCTTCTTTTTTTCCTGTCTATATAATGACCTTTTGCTTTTCTCATGAATGCTTTTCTTGATGTCCTCCAACACTTCATCAGGTCTACATTCACTAGTGTTCTATGCATCAAATATATTATGGACATACTGTATATTGAATTGTGGAAGGTATGAAAAAAACTATTATAGTGGTGAAACAGAGTTTCTGGGTGTATAGGGTAGAGGAGGGAGGGCATAAAGAGGAGCTAATATCAAAGAGTTAAAGAAGAAAACAATGTTTCAAAACTGATTGAAAATTGTACAATACTGCTTGATAAGATTGAAGTATGGAATGTTGTGATATCTATAAAAGCTCCCAGTGATTAAAAAATATTCTGTTATTGAGATATTCTGGAAATTCAGGTGTGATAGACTCTAGGCCATATTTTGCCACTGGTCAACTCGTTTAACTATTCTTCAATTTTATCTGAAATTACATACGAGTAATGAATGGTTTCTTCCACAGTTGGCCCTTGTCTGATTTTAGCTCTCGACCTTTTCCATCATGTCTTCCCACAGCTGTAACCAATTTGATTTTTGTGTATTCCATCTTAGCAAGTTCAACTTTTTATGTTGTTGAAAAATGTTAGTTGCTATGAGCAACCATTGGTTTTGCAATATTCTGTCATGCAATATCCAACTTCATTTCTATCACAAAGTCCTTATTTTCCAGTTACAGTTCTTTCCTCTTTGTGTCCATATTTTTCATTCAAATCACCAATAACTATCAAGGAATCTTGATTGGATGCTTGATCAACTTCAGACTTTAGTAATTGGTAGAATTCTTTAATTCTTTAATTCACTAGCTTTTGTGGTTGGTACATAAACTTGAAAAATATTCGTGTTGACTGGTTTCCCACAAAGGCAGATAGATATGACACTATCGCCGACAGCATTGCATTTCATGATTGATTTTGCAATGTTCTTTTTGACAATGAATACCACACCATTCCTCTGGAATGTGTAATTCCTCTTGATTATTTTATTCACAGCATAATAAATATTAGGATTCTCTGATTCCATATGGCCAATACCTGTTTATTTCAGCTTACTAAAATTGATTTTTAGTAAGGATATTTTCCATTTCATTTTTGACCTTTGACAAACTTTTCTGAATTCAAACTTTACATATATTTGATAATATCATTAATTTAGCCACTGGCATAGAATTTAAAAATTGTGGATAAAAAGTACTTATACATGTCAAACACATGTTGCAATAAATAGTTGATGTGTGCAGTTTGAGAGTTTTAGTGACTGGACATTATTTACATAAACAATAAGGGCTGGAGATAGCAGAAAATGGAATAACATATGTCATAAAGAAGCAAAGGCAGCATAAAAATAGTAAACATATGGTAGCACCGGGCCATCATTCATTAGGCACCTTCAAAACAAGAGATCTGAACCAAGGTCCAATGACTTCCAATTCCATAACCTTGGGATAGCAGTCATCTTCTCTCTTCTCACACTAGAGCATTTCAGCCTTAAGTCCAAGGAAGCATATCAGTCACTTTAATCTGCTACAGGTGAGTTTAAGTTAAAGCCAAGTTCCCTTAGTGGGATTTCAAAATTGCATACATTTGATGTGGCTTATGGACAATGTGCACCTGGAAAGGACATAGTCTAAAGACCCAGTTGTCTGTAGCATGCAGTCAGGGACACCACAGGCTGGATAGAAACTCTGTCAAAAGTATCCATTTAAGTAACATAATATCAGACACAGTTTCCCCCTTGGGTTATATATTGGTATTTTTAAGCATTTTTCCAAATAGCATATTGTCCCAGGCAGTTTACCCACCAACTGAATTAGAATTACCTTCCCTGAAACCAATAATGATGGGAAATGCTTGACATTGCCTTTATGGTTGCCCCAGAGGCAGAATCTGCCTCGAACTATATGCCCAGTCATGCATGTTTAACTGAGTTCCTTTTCAGCCCCATACAGTAGGCTACCTGAGCTTAATACATCTTGACTTTTACAGGCATGCAATATACTACATAGAACACACCAGAAATATCTGAGTAGGAAAAACCACTATGTGAAGTGAACAGGTACAGGTTAAAGGAATTAATATACTCATTTGGACTTAAGGCTATAACCCAGTCGGAAAATAAGAAGAGGAAGACTTCTACCCTAAAGTCATGAAATCAGAAGTCACTGGAATTCAGTTCAGACCTCTTCCTTTATAGATTGCCCAATAGTAGGCAATATAAGACTACCATATATTTGATGCTTGCTTAATTTCTTAGCTTTGTAGACATAAGTTTGCCATAGTGGATGAGTGTTAATTATGTTTGTACCCTTTGTCCAAGCCTGATTTTTTTAAAGCAGGATTCAATCACTTAAGTTTTTAAGATCTGTAATTGAACATTTCATGTAACTTAGCATAAAAAGCTTTCCGATATTCCAATATTCCCAATATCTCAACAATATTCTAAATTCTCTGCCAGGGGCTAGTTTACCCTGCATAAATGAACATTCCTTGTATTTTCATCTAATAAGCTATCCTGTATATGGAAATATTCCTTTTCACACTTATATTTTGAATTCTATACCATGGGCTAGATTAAGGATATTATTCATAGAATTACCAAATATCTTCTGCATGCTACTTAAGTTGATTTTACAAAATCTGATAAGGCTGCCTCTAACCTGCAGCAGGCATATATATAATATACTTGAGCTCAAAATTAATCATATGCCCTAATCTAAGAATAATTTGTTCTTAGGATGTGTCCTTTCTCTATACCTGCCCTCATCATGTGATAACTGATTATGTAGGTGCTACAGAAAAACATGGCGAGGAAATCAAATACGTTCCAGCTTTAACAGCATCTGGGGTCATATCGATGTGATTGGCTTTAAGGTTTGACTTGAAAAAGCATCGATCTAAAAGAGGTGTGACCTAAGTCTTCACAGAAGATGAACATTAGCCAAGTGATCCAAGGATTTGGAATGATATAACACAAGAGTAGATGGAAAAATTGTACTAGGGATCCAATTGTCCACAGCGTGCTTGCAAACGGTGATTGATTACGGTGAAAGCCCCAAATCCATTTGCAGAGTCCCCATGTGGAATATGCCCCTTTGAATCCCTCACTCCACTGAACAGGGCTGAGTGCAGTCTTGTCCACAGACAAGATACATTTGGACAGAGAGTTTGGTTTAAATTTAACATCTAACCATTTGTTTTTTCATTTTGACTAATTTTTAACTTGTTCTGTTTGTGTTATTTTCTATTTTCTTTTGGAATGACGTTTTACTTTGCTTCATTTCATAGATGTTTCTCTTTATTTTTTTCTTCTTTTTGTATGATTTCCTATATATGGAATCCAGGGTAGGTAAATCTTCAGGGACAGCTACAAAATTATGAGTTTTTTGGGCTTATGACAGTGGCAGTTGGGTGGATAGGAGGTGCTAATAACAACGGATGCAAAAGTGAAGAAAATATTACAAAATTGACTTTGAGGATTGCAGAAGTCATTTTAGTGTATTTGACTCATTTAATTGTATGGTATGTGAATATGTGGGTGGAAAGAAAACGTTTAAAGAAAAAGATAGGCCTGGTGACCTGTGTCTGATAAGTTATACACAACTTTCAAAAGCTCATGAAGGAGTTGTACACTGCACACCCGGGATAAGCAAGAGCCAGAATTAACTCAAGGGCAAGTACGAAAACAATCATAAGGATCATGAATGATATCACAGGAAGTAAGGAATACACAAACCATAGTGGGAACAATGTGCAAATACATTTTCAGAAACATTCAGAAGATGCATTCCAACCAGTTGTTGATGTACTTGTAACACTTTGGAGGGAGCACACACACTGATGCGGTATATTACTGGTGTGACTGGTTCAGAATGCGGCATTGTGAATGCAGCTTCTGGAACGCAGCAGTCTGCAGCATTCGGAACCAACTGCCTCTGAGGACACAGTAACCCTCCCTGCAGGCAACGCGGTCTAAAGCCTTCACTGCTGCGTCTTCAACTGGGCGATGGAGGTGGCACCTACACCTCCGCTTGACCTGGCCTATTTAAAAGAGTGCGAGAATGCTATCAGCCAGGAGATCAACCAGGAGTTTGCCGCCTCCTACACCTTCCTAGGTATGGCGTCGCATTTCAACAGCGTGGACGTGGGGCTAACCAACTTCGCCGCCTATTTTTTGCGGATGTCCATCTGCGCGCTCGAGTACATGCAGAACCTGATGAAGGTGCAGATCGAGCGCGGGGGCCAAATCCAGCTGGACACCTTGACGCCGGTGGAGCAAGACTGGAGCAACGCGGTACATGCCCTGGAGTATGCCAGTTTACTTAAAGAAGACAGCTTAGTGGACCTCATGTGCCTGTACATTTCAGCCAGAGAGCAGGGCGACACAATGCTGTATGACTTCCTAGAAAACTACCTTCTACACCACCTCATCAAGGATATCACTGTGCTCCGCGATCACCTGGTCAAACTACACAGTTTGCATGGCGAGCCAGTTTGCCTGGCTGAGTATGACCTCGAAGACTTGGGTGACAACGACTAGTAGTAACACCCCGAAGAAAGAAACAGCCCACCAGGTCCTGTTAAGGCGAAAGCAGGCTGAAGTCAAAACAGGTTCACTTTTGAGACTTTTCCCTTCCCCTACCAATATCCCTTCCAATAAAATAATTTGGTTGCAGAGTTAAACAAAAGCCTCCTGGTCATTCTCCTGTTTGCAACACTCCCGACTTGAAGAACAGGGGAAATCCCTTTATAGGTGTCCAGGAGTGGACGTCCCAGCCAGCTAGGCCACAAACTACTGCATCTCTGAATATCCATGGTTTGAAGAAGAGAAAGTATATTTCAGGAGGGCCTGGTAATCATAAAATAAATCTTCCCCTTATAGCTAAGTTGGAGTGGGGTGTGCAGGTCCGTCCATCCTTGGAGGGACTGAACAAGCATACATGAGTTTAAATTAGAAAATTATCTAATGGAATTCATGATAGTTGTGGCCTGGGGGATGGCAGGGTGAAGGGGGTGCGATTGGGGTGAGATTATAATAAAACTAAAACACATAGTGCCCCTATAACAAAAGGGAAGAACTGCTCCTGTGAGTCCCTGAGGCTTCAAATCTGGGATTAGAAAGCCTCTGTCTTTCTGCTGCGGAGCCTGTGGTGGTTTCAAACTGCTGACCCTGTGGTGAGCAGCCAAACGCTGACCACTATACCAGCAGGGCTCCTTGAGACTAAAATAAAGGTGACTTTAGCCTAACATGTGTTCACTACAAATGTAAACATAGGGGTTACTTTGAGTGAAAGTTAAAGAAAATGTGCCCCTATGTACAGATTAAATTCTTAAATGATCTTATCCTGTTTGCATTGACCGTGGGGTTGGTGATGAAATACTCAATGAAATGTAGAAAAGCAATAAAGCACCTTAAGCAATCACTGGTCTATGCCAGGAAATTTGACAAACAGCTACTTGGTCCTCTACCCATTCCAAAGAAAGGTGACCCAACAGAATGCTCAATAATAGAAAACAGTATTATTGTGTTAGTCTGGGTTGACTAGAGAAACAACTTCATAGACACTCATGTGTGTAAAAGAGAAAGCTTTATATACAAGAGCAGCTGTCCATTAAGAAAGCATCACAGCCCAGTCCAGGCCAAGTCCGTAAGTCTGATATTAGCCCATATGTCCTGTACCATTCTATAAATAATTTCCCCCTTCAGACTCACACAACACATGCAATGATGTCAAATGCAGGAGGATCACAGGCCAGTGGGTGGAAAGTCTTGTGGATCCAGTGGGGTAGCGGCATCTCAGTGCTGGCAGGGTCTCCATGTGGTTCCTTCAGGTCCAGGGCTGTAGTGTAGCTCCATGTGTCTTGTCAGCAAGCATGTCTCATAGGGAGTGAATCTGTCTCCTGCCTCCCATGACCTATTTATCTCCTTTGAGGCTGCATATGAGGTCATCAAGCTGAAACCTGATTGACACCCCATTCATTCTTAGCACTCAAATTGACAACAGATTATGAACTCCACCCCATTCCCTCTTAACACTCAAATTGACAACAGATTATGTAACTACCGCAATCATTAATATCACAGGCAAGTAAAATTTTACCAAAGATGATCTAAACAGTTGCACCAATAAATGGACAGGGAATTGCCATAGATTCAGGCTGGATTCAGAAGAGGACGTGCAACCAGGGATATAATTGCTTATATTAGCTAGAAATTTTAAGTATCAATTATTATAACACTAACATTGAAGTGACAAGGAGAGAGTATCCCAGTTGGAATTGTAGTAGAAGCCCACCCAAGTGAAGCTGTGGTCTTAAGCTGTGGCAAATGTAGTCGCTGCCAACCTCAAGTCTCTAGGGAGATAAACCCTTAGAAATATATACCCTTTCTGTCCTCTTGCCCTCTAAGCTCATAATAGTATCCATTAGTCAAACTCAACATGAAGACCCACAGGGCAAAAGAGATTGGTTGATGAAACCCTTAAAGGTCAGTCTCTTGGGGTGACAGAGCAGAAGTAGGACTAGGGGGTACATGTGGAGGCAAAATGAGAGACCACCTAGCACAATAAGATTGCCCAAGTCTCTTCAAAGCAAGTCTAGACAGCCTTTCTAGTCTCTCCATGTTGCCTTCTGTTTAATTCTTGCAACACAACTCTTCTTTAAAAAAATAATTTTATTGGGGGCGCATACAACTCTTATCACAATCCATATATACATCCTTTGTGTCAAGCACATTTGTTGCCATAGTCATTTTCATTCTACTTGAGCCCTTGGTATCAGCTCCGCATTTTCCCCCTTCCCTTCCCCACCCTCCCTACCCTCATGAGCCCTTGATAATTTATAAATTATTATTTCAAGTCTTACACTGACCCGTGTCTCCCTTCACCCACTTTTCTGCTGTCTGTCCCCCTGGAGAGGGTTATATATAGGTCACTGTGATCAGTTCCCCTTTTCTATCCCTACCTTCCCCTTACCTTCCTGGTATCACTACTCTCAAAATTGATTCTGAGGGGTCTATCTGTCCTGGATTCCTTGTGTTTCCAGCTCTTATCTGTACCTGTGTACATACTCTGGTCTACATGGATTTGTAAGGTAGAATTGGGGTCATGATAGTGTCGGAGGGGGAGCATTAAAGAACTAGAAGAAAGTTCTATGTTTAATCAATACTATACCCTGACTGGCTTGTCTCTTCCTTGTGACCCTTCTGTTAGGGAATGTCCAGTTGTCTACAGATGGGCTTTGGATCTCCACTCCACTCTCCCCATCATTCATAATGATATGATTTTTTTTCTGTGTCTTTGATGCCTGATTATCTAATCCTATCACCACTTCATGATCACACGAGTTGGTGTGCTTCTTCCATGTGGACTTTGTTGTTTCTCAGCTAGATGGCCACTTGTGTACCTGCAATCCTTTAAGACCCCATCAGCTTTCTTCACCACATTTGCTTATGCACCCTTTTGTCTACAGTGATTGTATCAGAGAGGTGAGCACACAATGATAGGATTTTTTGTTCTTTGGTGCCTGATAACTGATCCCTTTGGCACCTCGTGATCGCACAGGCTGCTGTGCTTCTTCCATGTGGGCTTTGTTGCTTCTGAGTTAGATGCCCGCTTGTTTACTTTCAAGTCTTTAAGACCCTAGATGCTATACCTTTAGATAGCCAGGTTCCATCAGCTTCCTTCACCACATTTGCTTATGCACCCACTTTGTCTTCAGTGATCCTGTCGGGAAAGTGAGCATCATGGAATGCCAGTTTAATAGAAGAAAGTATTCTTTCATTGAGGGAGTGCTTGAGTGGAGGCCCAATTTCCTTCTGATACCTTAATACTAAACCTATAAATATATGCACATAAATCTATTTGCCCATCCTCATATATAAATATATTTACATATGTACATGCCTTTATTTAGACCTCTATAAATGCCCTTTGCCTTCTAGCTCTTTCCTCTATCTCTTTTGACTTTCCTCTTGTCCCACTATCATGCTCAGCCTTCATTTGGGTAATAGTAATTCCTGTCAGTTACATTACCCTTGATCAAGCCCTACCAGGTCTCCTACACCCTCCTCACCACTTATTTGGATCACTTGCTGTTCCCTTGTCCCTGGGTTTTTTAACACCACTTCCTTTCCCCCACCTCCCCCTCTCCCATGTCCCCTCGGAACTGACAGTCACATTGTTTTCTCCTCCAGATTGTTCATCCATCCTATCTTATTTAGACAGACTCATCAGGACTTCTTTCACTGGTGTTCTATGCATCAAATATGTTATTGATATATATTTGTTATGTTATTGACATATATTGCTACATATAGGAGAAAAAAACTATTATAGGGCGTAAAAAGAGTTCCTGGCATGTAATATGGGCAAGGGAAGAGAAAAAGAGAAACTCATATCAAATAGTTCAAGAAGAAAGAAATGTTTTGAAACTGATTCAAAATTGTACAATACTACTTGATATGATTGAACTATGGAATGTTATATCAGTAATAGCCCTCAACGATTAATTTTTTAAAATATGTCATTGGGATATTCTGGAAATTAAGTTGTGATAGTTTCCAGGTCATATTTTGCCTCTGGTCAACTCATTTAAATTTTCTTCAGGTTTATCCTGAAATTACATATGAGCGATTGATGGTCTCTTCTACAGCTGTCCCTGGCCTGTTTTTTAGCTCTTGATATTGACCTTTTCCATCGTGTCTTCCCACAGATGTAATCAATTTGATTTTTCTGTATTCCATCTTAGTAAGGCCAATATTTAGTGTTGTTGAAAAAAGTTATTTGCTATGAGCAAGGTGTTGATTTTGCAATATTCTATCTTGCAATATCCAGCTTCATTTCTATCACCAAGTCCATATTTTCCAGTTACTCTTCCTTCCTCTTTGTGTCCAAATTTTGCATTCCAATCACCAATAACTATCAATGCACCTTGATTGTAAGCTTGATCACTTTTTGACTGAAGTAATTGGTAGAATTCTTTAATTTCATTATCACTAGCTTTTGTGGTTGGTAGATAAATTTGAATGATATTAGTATTGATTGGTTTTCCAAGAAGGCAGATAGATATACCACTATCATCATCAGCTTTGTACTTCATGGTGGACTTTACAATGTCCTTTTGGACAATTAATACCATGCTATTCCTCTGAAATGTGTACTTCCCCTGGATTTTTCTTTTATTCCCAGCATCGTGAATCTTACAATTTTCTTCAAAATGGACAATACCAGTTAATTTCAACTTGCAAAAATCGATCTTCATACATTCCATTTCATTTTGACCATTAACAATTTTCCCTGAATTCAATCTTTGCGTTTATTTGATAGTATCATTAATTTTGTCAATGACATAGAATTTAAAAACTGTTCAGAAAAGGAACTTATATATGTCAAGCCAGCAGTTCATTACTGCAATACATAAATTGTTGTTCTGTACAGTTTTAAAGCTTTAGTAATTGGACGTTATTTACACAAAAAATAATGGCTGAAGATAGAGCAGAACTTACAATAATGCTCATTCATAAGGGCAGAATCATGCCCG